TTATTGTTTAGAGGTAAGGATCTTTAATTTTGTTTCTCCCTCGTTGATTTGGTACATGTGTGTCTTTTAGTTGTTGAAGTTGTAATAGGTCTCTCATTTGAAGCACAGATGTTTAAGCCTGTAAGTTTACTTATTTTGTGATTCTACTGTTGATCTGAGCAGAAAGTTGCTGAACCATTTTGGCCATGAAAGTTTTAGAGTGGATTAGTTGTTGTACAATAATGATAGTTGACTTGTTCATATTGGACATTTACATGTGAACTGAATAAAATATGATCCAATATGAAAAAAATCTCCTATCAAAAATGTTAGAGTATTTGTTGTGCAAAAATAAACTTTGAGCTGTTGTGTATTTTATTAAGCATAGCCTAATGATAAATTGAAATTACATAACTTTTAGGTGAGAATATATGAATCTTGTGTTGTACATAGTAGATGTTGTGTTGTGCACTATTTGCCTAACTTGATCATTTTATTAAGTTTAGCCTACTGATAAAGTAGAATCGTATGAATTTTCAGTTGAGAATATATGAACCTTATGTTGTGCATAGTGGGTATTGTTATATATTGTTTGCCTACTTGTACATTTTGTTAAGCTTAACTTACTGATATAAGCTAAAGGTTGCTAAACCATTAAGTTGGTTATGAAAGTTTTAAAGTGGATTAATTGTTGTATAATTGTGATGATTGATTTGTTTTTATTAAACTTTGATATGTGAATTGAATAAAATATGACCCCCAATGTGAAGAAAATATGCCATCAAAGATGTTGGAATATTTATTGTGCAAAAATAAACTTTGAGTTATTTATGTTTAACTTTGAGTTGTATAAAATAAAAGTTAGGATTCTATATGTGGACATTTACCTAGATTAATTTATTCATTGCAGGTTAAAATAAAAGAAGATTTATCATTGTTAAAGATGTGGGGAGGTTAAACAAAATGGCAAGACATGCAAGAATCCTAATCCAATATGAGAAGTAGTCATATTGTTCCTTTTTGATGTATATAGACAACTATAATTATGTATATGGAAGCATTTTCAAGTAATATTTTTTGAGTAATTGAGAATCACAGATATTTTTTTTGTATATAGAAAAGCAACTGTTAGATGTTTTAAATATAGTGGCTAGCTTTTTGTACATATCAGACTTGAAATATCATGTCAAATTTCATGTGGGTGCTTGTTTTAGTATCTAGGCCAGTACCAGTATGAAATTCCACATATTTGATGTAATTATTTTTCTTAATATTGGAAATGCATAGACTTTTTTTGAGCATATGTGGATATCATCTTATACATAGTGGATATTGTGTCATGCATGATCTATCTAATTTGTCATTTCTGTTAAGCCTTAGCTTGTGAAATACTGAAAATGCATAGACTGTCTGTTGAGTATGTATGGACATCGTCTTGTACATAGTGGATGTTGTGTTGTGCATGGTCTACCTAACTAGTCATTTTTTTGAGCCTAGGTTAATGAAATATTCAAAATGCATGAATTTTTTGTTGAGTATGCGTGAACATAGTCTGGTGCATAGTAGATGTTGTATTGTGCATGGTCTGCCTAGTCATTTTTGTTAGAGTTTAGGCTAGTAAAATACTCAAAATGCATGAAATTTCTGTTGAGCATGTGTGGATATTATTTTGTGCATAACGAATGTTGTGTTACGCATGATTTGCCTAACTAGTCATTTTATTGAGCCTAAGCTAGTAAAATATTTAAAATGCATGGACTTTTTGTTGAGCATGCGTGAACATAGTCTGGTGCATAGTGGATGTTGTGTTGTGCATGGTTTGCCTAATGATTTTTGTTAGAGCCTAGGCTAGTGAAATACTCAAACAACATGGATTTTTTGTTAAGCATGTGTGGACATTATCTTGTGTATAATGGATGTTGTGTCGTGTATGATTCATTCTGTTGCTTCGAGGGTTCGCGTAGGCTCTAAATTCAAATCAAACAAAGGATAAAATAGTATTTTTGTTCTAAAAAAAAATTACAATTGGGGCTTCAATGCCTGCAGAGCAATTTCAAATTGATTCAGACTCTAAGTACAATAAACTCTGTTTTTAGGGCTTTTAATGCCATTCCCCCTATTTTTTGTTATTTTCTATAATTTTTAAGTTTATTTTCTAGTTAACTAATGGTTAGTATTAACTTTTGTTAACTGTAAGGGCTAGCTTGTATCCTTTTTAAAAGTTAAGAGAATAATTTGTATAATAAACAAATTCAAAATCTATAATATTATTAGATCTAAAATTTAGAAAGTAATTTGCCCATCTATCTTTTAATATAAATCAAAATACTCTTTAGTTGATAATCTTTATAGTAATGGTTCACAAACGGAAAATGAAGAGTTTGTGCAAAAGGAATATTACAACTGTTTAAAGTCGAGTTAGTTGCCATTGTTGAGAGTTAGTCATGTGATTAAGTCCATGAGATCATTTGTTATTCGGGTCACTTAATTAGGCTATTATCAAAGCTTGACTGAGATGATAATAATTAAATAATTATTTAATTTGAACCTGAAGTTATAGTTTTAAATTGTAAAAACTTAGGGTTTTACGTCATTTTCAATAATTCAATTTTATTCGTTGTCATTTATTAAATTTGAATGACAATTTTGACCGTGGATGATGGATCAAATGTGGCAATGAATTTATGGAATGAGTTGGATATATTATAATGGGGATATTTAACACATAACTATCATCTTTTGAATTATGGGTTTTAAATCAATGGCCAGGAATTTGAATCTTAATTCATAATGTTATGAGTGATTAGTCCATTAAGTCTACTAAACCCATCAACTCCCATTCGCTTAGTTCCATTAATATTTGAAAACAAAGAAGACTTTTTTTTTTTATCAACCGAAAAAGAGAAAACTTGGTAGTTAAAACTTGTATACTTAACAGAGTATATTTTATTAAAATAATTAAATCTAGAACATGTAAATTTTAAATTTTAAATTAAATTAATAATATTACTAATAAAAATTAGTGGTGGAATAAAAAATATATAAAAATTTATTTGTTTCAATTTAATTGATAAATTTTTCCATTAAGAATTTAAATATACATTTAAAGTTCTTGTTTTAAATTAAATAAAAATATGTGAATTTTATTTTTATTAATATTATTAACATTTTAAAATTTATACATTTTAATTTAATTGGACAAAAACCTATTAAGTATATAATGCTAAGTACTTAGCTCATTTTCTAAGATAAAAGGACAATTTTATCCTTAAATTATAGAATTAGGAGCATCTAAGATTCTAAACTCATTTTTGATACAATACTCTCCTTTAATTTCAAAAAATGATCCAATGCCATTCTTACTATTAATAAAATTAACTCTAATTATTAGTTAACTAAAAATTAAAGAAAAGAACCAAACAAGATTATGGGAAATGATCAAAAATTATAGACAGGGACTAAAAAAATTATAAAAAAGAATCAAGAAAATTTTTCTCAATTCTTTTATATAATTTTTTGTTCAACTAATAGTCAAAATTGATGTTTGTTAATAGTATGGGCAATATTATATTGTTTTCAAAAGGTGAAGGGGAATATTATACTAAAAATAAGTTTTGAATCCTAAATCTATAGTTCAAGAATAGAATTTGTCATTTAATCCAAAAAAATGACAAAAAATACCCTTAAAATATGTAAATAATAACTAATATCATGGAATGATATAAATATTATTTAGTCCCTAGGTAGCAGGGAATTGTTAACATTTTGATTTTTAACAAAGTGACATACTCATATTTTCTTTCAATGACAATTATACATTAAAAAATGACTACTTTAATTGAATTATTGACTAAAATGAAATAGAAAATGACTATCTTCTTTTTGCAAATTTGTTTATCAATGAAGTGCAACTAAAATGGTTATTTAAAAAAAGTTTTTATTTTCTAATCCATTTATAAATCACAAATTTGCAGTAAGAAAGAAGTCAATTTCTATTTCATTTTAGTAAATAACTCAAATAAAATAATCACTTTCCAACATATAATAGTTATTGAGAGCAAAAAAGACTTTGTTTATATTTATCTTTAATACTTTGCACTTGACTGATAAATAAATTTGTAAAAAGAAAGTAGTTATTTTATATTTTATGTTGGTCGATGGCCCAATCAAAGTAATCATTTTCTAATACTCCTTTTAGTTAAAAATATAAAATATTTAAGGGGATAAATGTTAAAAAATATGAGATTTTTTAGTATTTTAATGTGTAATTAATGTATTTTTTAAATGCTCTTAATAAATAAATTATTTTATATTTATTTTTAAGTGAAACACTCTATTAAATAAAGGCAAGTATGAAAATATGGTATTAATTTAAAAATAATTAATTACCTTATTGAATGGTAAAATTCAATTATGAATATCTTATATTTTTTAAATGGAAGAAGTATATAGTAATCATTGAGTACAAATGTCATTTATTCAAAAAATCAAAATAGCAAACAAAGTTTATAGGAATTAAATACTTTTCTATTAAAAAATATAAGATATTTTTTGAGATTAAATGTTAAAAAATATAAAGTATTTTTAGTATGTCAATGTGTAATTATTATATTTTTTTTAAAGCACCTCTATTAAATTATTATTTTATATTTATTTTAGAATGAAATACTTTATTACATAAAGATAAATATAAAAATATATTATTAATTTAAAAATAAATAATTATTTTTTAAAATATAAAATTCAGTTAAAAAAATAAAGTGAGTAATAATTATCGCATTTTATATTGCTCATTCGAGATTTGAGATTTGCATATTTTTAAATATTTTTTTTGTCATTGAAAAAAAAAGAAGAAGCTAATCCCCCTTCAGATGCGAAAAAACGTTTTTTTTTTTTTTTAAGAGAGTGAAAAAACATTGCTTTAACTTCCAGCCGCCATTCTATGTTTTCTAATTATAATAATCACAATATTTCATGTTCGCGTCTCATGTTTACGTGAAGCCACACTGGCACTCTGAACCCCAACCCTTATATTCTCCGTTCCTCTCGAAACCAAAATCCATCCTCTACCTTCCTCCCATTCGGCATCACAGCCTTGCGACGTTGCTGTGACGATGATGGAGTCTGAATTTTCTACCCAATTGCAGTCACAGGTCTTCCAGATTCTTAGCTCAAACGACAATGACCCCATGGAGGTTGTCTTCTCCCATTTCTTCTCTCCTGACCAATCCCAAAAGTCCCAGGCTCTCCTGTTCCTCGAATGCTCCAAGAAATTCTACCCCGATTTGCTATTCATCAAGCTCTGCTTCCTCGTACGATGTGGTCCCAATGTCGACACCCGCTCCAACGCCATTAGGATTCTTCGATTCCTTCGAGTTTGCGACCTCTGGCCTAAATTGCGGGAAACGGCGAAGTCTACCCTGAAAGGTCATTTGCTTGCGTATCTCAATGAAGAGAATTCAATGCTGGTTTTGAGGATGTTCTGTGCTGTGGTGGCTGAAACGGTGTGTGAGATTTATAATGGTGGCAACCAATGGCCAGAGCTTCTTGAATTTCTTTTAACGTCTCTTGGAAAGACGAGCAATGACAGGTTTCAGGAAATTGCCCTTTTGGTTTTAGCGAAATTTCCAAGGGATTTCCGGTCGGTTATCTGTGATGTTCTGAAGGATAGTGTTCAGGTTCTTCATTCGTCGTTCTTGGATGGGTTGGCTTCGGCGAGCCCTGATGTTCAAGTTGCTTCTTTTGGGGCTGTTGTGACATTAATGCCTTTATTTTCTGAACCTTCGAATCCAGGGTTGTTTCATGACCTTCTGAGGGCAATGATGGTCGGGATCTTTACTCTGTTGAGAAGCTCTCAAGATAGCTATGCTTTCATGGCTTTCAAGGAGTTGATAACATTGGTGTCAGAAGGGCATCAATTACTGAAGCCATACATTAGTGATATGGTTTTAGACATGCTGCAAATTGCAGAGAACTCAGCATTGAATGAGGAGATGCATTGTTATGCCCTTAGATTAGTAATCATCTTGACAGAAAGAAAAGATTTTAAACACATAATATTAAGTCTGCCTTATCAGACTATGGTTAGGATCTTCTTTGTCCCCATGAAAATGCTACTCTGTATTAAAGAAGATATGGCAGGTAATGAATTGAAAGGTGAAGAGTATGGAAGTACTGAGAAGACTAATGTCTACAACTTTGGATTAGGATGCTTGTATCATCTTTCAGTCACCCTGGGGGAGAATAAAGTTCTTCCTATTACTTCAGAACTGTTGCCACTTTACTTGGAATCTCCAGAATGGCAGAAGCGTCATGCAGGAATTACATTCCTTGCTTTAATTGCCAAAGCGTTCTCATTTGAAACGGTGAACTGATAACTCTCAAGTCCTTCGATTAATTGTACTGAATGGTTGTGCTGACAGATAGTAAAATAGGTGAACTATGGAAAATGCAATTGGACAAAAGATGCAGGGCAGTAACAACTACTTTTTATTCTTGGTTTCTATGTATAGCCATGGATGTACCTATTAGATCCTTGGAAAACAAGGATTCTACCCTACCACATGAAACAAAAGACTGGTTAATGAAAAATAACGAAAAAAATCACCATTGGAAAGATAATTTGCTTCCTGAAGAGACCCATAATAAACTAAAAAGTGAGAAAATTGAAGCGTTAACCATAATGCATTCTCAGTGAGCTTCATCAAGTCAAATCTGATTTAATTCTAGCCTGAGAGAGATGGTTGGCATGTATCCCACGCTTTAGAAAATGATATCATACACACCTGCAGTTTGGCATCAATTACAGCTTACTCATATTTCCCTTTCAATTTAGTCATTTAGTCTATGGTCCTTCCACACTTGGTTGTAAAATTTTGTAGGTCGTTCATGCTGGTTTGGTTTTACTTTCTGGTGGTGGCTTCATCTCACTGTCTAACATCGAATAATGTGCTTACATTCCAGATGGAGTATATGGACGATTCTCTGGGGATAGTGCTTGAGAAAATTATGAAATTATTTCAAGACTCCCAATTTCAAGTTCGGTTGGCAGCTTTCAACTTTATGGTGATACCTACAATTTTTATCCAAATGTTGCAACTGTTTTATCATTCTAGGCTTTTGCCTGCATTTGTCACGGCACTTGACACTGAACAGAATGACACAGTAAAGGTGCGAGAGATGTGATTTTGTCTGTGTGTGTGTGTGTGTGTAGATGATTGCAGGGTCAACAACTAAGATGTCGTTTGAATGGATTGATTTTAATTAATTTTATATTCATTTCTTCTAGATCTTGGCATATTATTAATAGTGAAGATCTTGAACTAATGAGTATTTTGTGGCGAGACAGCCATAACTAAATGGACTTTTCATCACTATCAGTTGAGATGTGCACCCTCCAACTTACGGTATAATTCTTGACGTAACTAAACTGATGTATCATTACAACTGCTTTGGCACAACAAATCTCGACACAACTACAGCTTCTTGCTTTTTTAGTTAGACTGTCTAGTTCTCCTTGTCCAGTTCAACTTTTCTCCGTGCTTTTGAATTATTGGAATGTGTGTGAAAATTATTTTTCTCATCTAATTGATTCTTACTCTTGCTGTGAAATTTTTATGCAAGCAGCCATTCTCCATTCCTTTCATTTTCACTCCTACACCAAGTGCGACATTGATATTACATGTACCACTTCATTATAGATTTTTTATTATTACAATTATAATTTTATATTTCTTTAATAGGAACATGCTGCTTCTGCAATGCTATACTTCCTAAAGAACACTCTTCCAGATAGCTTTTTCTGGTATCCGGACTCGGATACTGTAATAAGGAAGTTGCTGGTATTGTTGCAGGTAGAAAGCTATACTTCTATGGGATTCTGCATTCCTGCCTTTTAAGATGCGTCATAAATGCAATCTTTTTTTCCCGCATAGCATTAAGAAGTAATAAATTTTTACCCAGAAGATCTGGGTGTAGCTAAACAAAATTGTGCAAGTGAAAGGTTCAGAGTTTCGTAGAACACATAGGCCCATGACTTCCGTATCATGCAGGAATTCTTTCGGAGCCACAATGTTTTGCTTCTTGGGAAAATCCTCTTATTTGTTTATCCCGGACTTCAGTTTCCATGGACAAGTTACTGCATGTTCTTTTAACCTTAAATTAGCACCAATCTTGTTATTCCTCAATTTTCTTTTTTAAGAAAATCCAAATGAACTTTTTTTACTAAAGTTAGTCTATACTAATACAGTCTCCATCTCTGTGGTCCTTCAATTTGATTCTTCCCAGCTTTCTGCACGCAGGGTGATGTGACTCCTAAACAAAAAAGTATTCTTTTGTCAACTGTTAATATTGTTGCAGAGCGGTGTGCTACAATGGCTTTAGAGTAATGTTTTCGATCTTTCATACGCTTTTCTTGCCTGTTTAATTCATGAATAAATGAAATGATGTCACTTTTCTTGTTTTCTCAGCAGGTACTATGTTAATTATCTTCCGATCTTACTAGAAGCGTGCAGTGACGAGAATTCTGAAGTTAAAGAGGTTTCCTGTCTCCCCCTTTCTCGGTTTTATTTTTGTGGAATTTATTTCATTTGCAGATATTTCATATGAAATTTTCAGGAGGCAACACGGGGAATTCGAATTTTGGCGGAGTCTGGATCACTGCAATTCAAGCCTTTCATCAATGGTATCTTTTTATATATATTTTTTTTCAACTTAAAATATTGTTAAGAACTTCATCTTCGTTCTTAAGGTTTATATCCACATCTCTTCTTCAGGGATACTGTCTAAACTCAGCATTTTGATGCAACATCCAAACCAACCACTTCTGGAGAATGCAAAAGCAAATGATATTGCAGTCTCTGCTCTAGGAAGAATCTGTATATGCCACCGTGACAGCATTGATGCTTCAAAAGTAACACACACACACACATATATTTTCCTTCCATCAACATTTTCTGGCAGGAGAAACTTGGGTTTTTGTTATTGATTGAGAAGAAACATCACATTTATATTAATGCATGTTGATTTTGAATGAGGTTTCAGTTTTTTTTTTTTTTTAATCTTTCTTTATGCGCGACATGAAGTATATCTTTGTATGTCCGCAGTACTTTTCTTCCAGTTAAAAGTCTTGACTTTTCAAATGCAAATGTGTTGGGTTCTTCTATTTTTATGACTATCTTGACATGCATTAATGTGCTTGGCATTTTTAATTATTTTTCAAGTTATCTTATTTAATAGCTGCTAACCAATGAATCAAAAGGAAAAATTTAAGGCCCTTAAGTTTAGCTTTTAAGCATTAGTAACTGTGAAATAAGAAAATATAGAAACGCAGAAGTCTGAAGTTTAGTGACCCAAATGACAAATTTAAAATCTTATCTTAAAAACAAATAACCCAGTTACCCAAGCAACTGACATGAATTTCACCATTCTTTTTCCAATGGATGAAATAGTACAACAGGAACAAAGAAAAGACACAGAACTTAATTTTGAGGTTCAATAAGAAATTCGTCTAGCCACTAATGTTTCAGCTTCCGTCATCTGAGCTAAGGAATATGTGTGCAAAAACTAGAAACTTGACTTTGCCCAGTGACATATTGCTTCCCCTTGTAAGTGAAGTGTATGATATGTATGTCAAATTTAATGGTTCAGATATGAAATTTTGTTGTTCTAACTAATCTTGAAACTGCATTCACCGATATATATACTCAAGTCACTTTGCACATAGCTCTTTTCCAGATTTTAGGACGTGAGCTGGAGGTCTCATTCTTTTTGACATTAGTATAGAGTTTCTGAAGTAGAAGTTGTCCGCCAGAGATTGAATGCAGTCACATCGCACTCTTCAGATTCTGTAGCATGAATGAAATAAAATTTATAAGGGAAAGTCTATATAAATTTATACATGGTTCCTAGTGCTGGCATTATTAGAAAAAAGCGAGGGGGAGGGGAGGGAGAGAAAGAGCTGCAAGTAGTTCACTATCAACCAATTTCACTAATATGTTTACAGCATGCAGAACCAAGGATCTTGCTATCAAGAAAGTTGTTAGGAATTACATAAAAATATTAGCTGACTTCATCTATAGCATCGTATGATCATAAGTTTAAGTGAGTATCAACTTAATATTAGAGACTCTGACTAAGTAGATCGGAATTCTGTCCTTGTTGACTCCAACTGCTCAAAATGAACTGAAACTACATCGCATGGTAAGTTAGGAAATCATTTCTTTGTCCATGTTTCAAGTCTTAAGCATTTTCATGTCAAGGGGTGTTTTATGGATTATAATAAAATTATTTGTTACTCTTCACCAAAACTTGCAATTTGAAGTGGTCTTTGAAAACAGTATACATGATCAACTTATGCTGCTTTTTCTCTAGGTGAGATAACCGAGTGATAAAGAAAAGGTTTGACCCCATTTGCATAAATCTGCAGCTTGTTCCTGTCTGGTTAAGCCTCCTGCCCCTTAAAAATGATTTGAGTGAGGCCAAGATTATGCATGAACAGCTCTGTTTAATGGTTTCAAGGTGAGAAAACAGTACACCCCATTAGAAGAATCTTTTATGAAAATAATAATTAATCAATAAAAAAATAAATAGTTTTCAATGCTGCAGTAATTGATTAATTGAGTTTGTTATTATATTTCAGGTCAGATAACGATCTTTTTGGCCCAGGAAATCAAAATCTTGTCAAGATCATTGCAGTATTTGTTGAGGTGAGTTGACAGCGTTTTTCATCTTCTACTCTCAAACCGAACCCTTGTCACCCTTACAAACAAGAGCTAAGATACATGTTAGACTGAAATGGATATACCAAGACATAAATAATATCCAAATGAGTTCAAATGCAGATGAAACGTTATCTTCAGATATTGCCAAGTTTTAATCTACTACAATTTTGTCCTCTTTATAATAGCAATGTTAATCTTCCAAAGATGATATATTTGTGTCTTAAGAACTTAGCAGCTTGTAGAAAACTGAGCTTGTAGACTGTTATTTGTAGCAAAAATGGGAGAGACATCCTCCTATCAAAGATGTCTCGTGGAAAACAAAAATGGCAAGGTAGATTCAGATATGTAAACTCTGACTCTCTGAGTCCAGGTTTCTTCTTCTAAAGATATGGTGCAGTTAGAAGATCACTTGTGACAAATCTTGACCACTCGGCATGCATGAATAAGATGAAGCGAACTTTTTTCTTGTTCCATTGGTTCATCTTTGCTATTCTAATATACATTCAGGGAATTTAATATTCGTCCAGTGGATTAGACAATGTCGGTTTTGCTCTCAATACAATGAATTTCACCTCTATATTTCCTGATGACAGAGCCACATGAAGGAAGACTAATTAATTAAGACTATGACACTGGACTTCTGTTTTTCTTGTGTATGTTGCGGTACAGTGTTGTGCCAATTGCTAAGACTAGATTTCTCTTCCTCTTATTGTAACTTTGTTCCTTTTTATACTGTAAGATATGTTTTCTGTCAGGTTATTGATAAGGGAAACAGATTAGCTACACCAGAAACTGTCAAGAAGATGAGTCATTTGCTGAGGGAGTTTGGAATGGCCATTCCTCGCAGTTCTTGGGACTTGATGTTGTTATCATTGAATGCCCAACAACAGCAATTGTTGTTGTCCATGGTATCATCTTAAGATTATTCATCTTGATGAGTGGTATTTTGAATATCTGACAGGTTTAGCGCACTTGTATGCAATTTAACAAGTGTTATCCAAATTACTGCAATGTCATAGAATGATATCATGATATGAGATAATTCCATGAAAATCATATGGGATTTCATATCATACCATTTTTAACTGTCTTTTTTTTTTAATTAAATTGTATCATTTCTATGACATTTTCAGTTGTCATGCCAAACCTGACATCTGATATCCAGTGTAATGACGGTATTCAAAATGCCTTAGCAAGTGAGAATGAGATACAAGTGTATCCAACGCTACCTAGTATTCATATATTTTTTTTAAAGAGAATAATTGAAGAGAAGAGATACATCACCACTCTTGAGGCATAAGAGTGTTTCTAGTATTTGAGGCATATTCTTGCACAGTGTAACTGTTTGTACATATTGGCATACATACTGATTAATAAGATGGTTTGGTCATTGATACAAGAGGGAAAGAATGGATTGTTCATTGCTGAATTTGTTAGAAAATCTCCAAACAAATAATGTTTTGGAAATAAGTTGGCTTGGTTTATTATATTTTTCTTTAGCTTCTTTTCTATTGCTTGAGTAAGAATTTACAAACCGTGCTGTAATATTTATTTTTACATTCATGCAAATTCAAATTTCAAATCTTATACTTAAACAACAGTAACTATTTCTTCTAAAATCAATGCTTCTAAGTAAAATAATTTATTTTTAGAACTTAAAAAGAAAGTTTACTTTTTACTCCCTCAAATTTAAAATACAGGTTCTTTTTTTTTAAAAAAATTATTTCATCTTACATGTTATTAATATGTAATTTAAATTTTAAATTATAATTTTAAAAGCAATTTAAACCGTATACTAATAATTGATATATTTTAAATTTTAGACAATTAATATAGGGACAATCATCTCACCCACTATTAACTCAGACTCTGAGAAAACGTCCGTTCGTTGGGCCCAGATGCGCAGGTGACGTGGATTTTTCTTTTGTTTTTTGTTTTTGCTACAGATCACGATTTCTTAGGTGCAGCGGCTCCAGCTCGGCCTTCGAGAAGGAGACGAACCCACACTCTCTGCTCAGAAACGAATCGGCGGGAGGGTTTATATACGCCGGGGGTAATCCTTCCTTCTGTTGTGACCCATTCTAATGTCGGCAAGGAATTTGATGGCCATTGCTTCGAAGGGTCCTGTTACCAAAACCCTTTTTAATGGCCATTCGACCCCTTTCTGCTGCAATCATTTCTTCACCGAGGTTCGATCGTTGGTTGAAGGTCATTTCCTGCTCTTTCTTTTCTTCTAACTCCATCTCTTGTAGCTGAATTAAACCCTTACTAAGAACGGAGTTTTGGGTCTTTATTATATATATATATATATATATATATTTAATTGCCAGAAACTTCTCTGAATCTTTTGGGGTATTTCACGAGGATATGACTATTATAGTAGGGATGTGGTCTTCGTTTTTCAGAGCTTATGAAAATGTCTTCTTGCGGGTATGTGTATCTGTTGAGATAAGTGAGTGCTTCATTTTTGGATTTGTTAATTTCTCACAGTAATGAATCTGCAAGTTCAGCTATTTCTACAATGGAGGGGCTTTCAGTATGAGAGAGACCGGTCTTGGCGGGAAGGCATTGCGTCTTCATGGTGGAGATCTGGTGGTAGCACAGTAGCAGAATCAGACTGGAAGATGGCTCCAGTGTGAAAATATAATTACCAATATGCCCATTTGACTATGTTGACTTGCATACTTGGCATGCCAATTTGGCAATGTCAACTCAAAACAAATTAACTGCCGGATTGTTTCCAATTTGATTGTTTAAGGATTAAAATATACAAAAAAATAAGTTTAGATTCAAATTGCTATTCAGCCTATAATTTAAATTTCGGATGCAAATTACTATCTAACCCTTCTTTTAAATATAATATTCATTGATACTTTTGTATTATATGTTTATTTATAATCTGTTTTTTTGATCGAATCTTTATTTATAATCTCAATATATTATCTATGAGAACAATTATTCCCTTAGTTTTTATTAATCATAAAATGAATTAAAGATAAATAATAAATTACATTTTTTTAATATGTTTACACATAGCTTAAAAGACCTATAATTTTGAAATGGAGTCAATATCTAATTTAATCTTAAAATAAAAATACAGTTAAGATTTTTTTTTATGTTTTCTAATATATCATATTGAATAAAAACGTGTAAGATTTTCATCAAAAAAATAATTATCTTCCCACTATCCCAAAAGGTTTGAATATATACATAGTATAAAAAAAATGAATTTAATAAACATAAAAAAAGAAATGATATTTTGAAAAAATAATAATATAAAAACATCAATAAATATTACTGTTTTAAATTTTACAAAAAATATAAAACAAAATAATTTTTTTATTGTTTACACTTTAAAGTATCCTTCTATTGAATTTAGTTTGAAAAAGAGGAAATATGAAATTTGAGAAGAATTTGCTTGAAGGATTGGTTGCCACGAAATCAGATGATAGCCCACGTGTATAGCAGAATGAGGCCGGAGTGAGTCCTGACTAAATTCAGCAGAGGACACGCCTGCGTTGTCCCTAATTGCATTTGCATGTTATTTCTCTCTTCTTCATCTTTATATTTCATCTTCCTTTCCAAATTCTTACTGTTATTCCATTTCCATCTCCAACAAACTACTCAAAATGGCGGAGTCCTGTGAAACTGTTGACCCCAAGCCCAACGGAGCATATGTCGAAATCGCCGGAGAGAAAGACATCGATGGCGCCTTTCAGTCCACAAAGGAGAGGGAGACCTTGTACGAGATTCTTCACCATATGGGTTCCGCGATTTTGGTTGCTCATAAGGGCAACAGTGCACCTCTACTGCAGCGGATCAAGACTTCCGTATCTCAGTACGCTCCTCGCATTCCTGAAGCTTCTAGAAACACCGGTCAGGATGTTCTTCTCTGGACTCGTCGAGGCAGCCCTCTCCGGGCTCTCCTTGTCATCTCGGTGAGTATTGCTGGTCGCTTCTGTGTTGTACATCACAAATTTCGCAGTGCATTGTGAATGTGATATTTTAAATTGAATCTTGTTTGCGCATGTGGTGGACTCCGTGAATCTTAAGCGAATGCCTTGTCGGATTTTATAATGAATTTGATTCGATGTACGTTTGGATGTGAAGCTTGCGATTTAGGGGGGATTTTCGGTTTATCAATTTGTTGTTCTCACAACAATTTGTGCTTGCATAATGCAAGCATAGCAACAACTGAGGAAGCCACTAGATGTTCTTTACAGTGTTACATGTTCTAGTAAAATCGCTTATGGCCGTCTATACCGGCTCAAGCTTTGGGGATCAAATATTCAAATTGTTCTTGACAAACCAGTGAGGGATTTGGGTCCCGTGCCAATAATATGGTCCCGATCGTCCTTGATATGTTCAATTTCATGTGGATTACCAGATATGGATCATACAACTTTTGCTGGATTATAATAAACTATAAGTCTAAACATTTTTGGCTTTTGATCCTTGCCACCCTATGTTTTCTGATTTTTCAGGATCCTTCTTCGGTATTGTTTCATTTTTATTCTGTTGGTAGCCGTTGGGTGGCAATTTGATTATTCTTATTCCTTTTCTTTCACCTATTATATTCTTCACACGTGGGATTGAGCCTTCTCATCTGTTGCTCTTCTTTGACCAAAGGCCAAAATCTCTTGCAGTTTGAATTTCATAGGCTTATCCTTGTGCAATGAATACCACATCTTAGTCATTTAAAGCTGATGAAGAGATATGTTCTTTAGGAAAGATACTCCTGGCTAATTGTTTTTCTAAGGACCGATAAGCATGTCTGCCCCGTTCTCAAGTTGCCAAAGTGAGTGAGAGTTTTGAAGATGCAAATGCAATTTTATTTTCATTTATTCACAAACCTTCTTTTCCCACCCGCAGCTTACACTCTCGAGAGAAAAAAGAATGTATTTGATTGGCAATGCAGTTCCAATTAGATTTGAAGTTTGATAACTCTGCTACATTGTAATATCTAAATGCTAGAAGTCTTATCTTCAGCACCCTTTTTGAAACCCTTGGAAAGGTTTGTCTGATTATTTTTTCTGTATGTTTCATTTCCAAGCCTTATATGATGTGATGCTGCGCTTCCAGATGTTGATTCATCCATGGGATGTTACCATCCATTTTATTATTAACATCTTTTGATATTTTAAATTTCAATTTTTGGTTGGCTCATTGAACAGTCATCCAGAGTAAATTGAATGGAACTTTCCTTAAGTACATGGGTACTAAATGCATGATTTGTGCGTGTGTGTGATTTTACCATATTACCTATGACAATGTAGACCTTAGGACGTCTCAATTGCCTCCATGCAATTTCAAAGTCAAACATCATCTTGCTTATCCTATACTTTATTGCCACAAAACGAACTATTCCCCATCTAGGATTGCTGCACTATGCTTCTCTGTTGCCTGTAAGTTGTTTGTTTTAGTCAAACGATGAAGGATTTTCATGTAAAATTTTGAGAACAAGAATTGATGTTATGGCCGTAAGCTGTGCAAACCAATTTGTCTGCCTGTCTATTCTATAAAGAAGTACAGAGTTTGTGCTAATATTCATTTTGTACTTGGGGTTTACTGATGGAGACTAAGACTACGACTCATAAATAGAATAGGTCATCTGGCACTTTCATTGTTTGGGTGTTCCTTTAAGAAGCAGACATAAGGATGGCACATTCCACAACAGAGGTAATATATCGGACATTGACATGGTGGTTATACATAAAGTTGAAAGTGTCTTGAAATGGTTTCAACTTTTTCCTCAAAAATAAATTTACAGTTAAGTTTCAAAACTTGTGGTCTTATTTTTTCTTTTAAATAATAAGATTGATACTCGTAGAGGGATTTATTCCAACCATTCATATGCAAGGGGGAGTAGTTAATTGTTTCCTTTCCATGCTGGGTGACATGGAAAAATGTTTGGGTGTCAGTTTTGATGTCAACTGTTCTTAACCTTTAGTAATTACAATCTTGACATGATTATTTTCACTAGCTATGTAAGAGCAAGACAGATAAATACATAATTGCCTCTCTGAAAGGAGATTGTTTGGCAGCAAAATTTCCACCTTCCGTTCTTCTGTGAAGTTGTCATATCAAGAAAATATAGTTTGTTATTTTTTTTTTTCTATTGCTTTGAATGTTGTATATCTCATTTGGTTTCTTATGATTTGCTTCCCTGTTTGTTGCAGGTTGGGACAATCACTCTTGTTTCCTTGACAGGGTTGTCTGTCTTTCTGCTTTTGGTTCTGGCGGCAACTTTCAATGCCATTGTTATTTCCCTTTTTGTGTCTTTGGCAGTAGCGGGAGGATTCTTGGCCCTTTTCTTCGCATCTGTAACAGCTATATATATTGGAGCATTATCGATAGCCATATTTGCTATTTGCACTGCTTCATTCTGGGCAATTGTGGCTATACTCATAACTACAGGTAATAAGTTGTTTGATTGCCTCGATTCCTTCATAGTAATCTGATCTGGCGTTCTGGCTTAAACTTTTTAACTATTTCACGGCACATGTGCCTTTATGAATTTGTAACTCTAAATAGGAGTTTAAGTAAATGAATTTCAGCTGAACTGAATCAGAGATAGTGTTTTTCTATCAGTAGACCTGTAAGGTCAGTGACTGTGCTTGTTTATTGCCCTGCCCAATAAAGATAGATTTTAGTCTGCAAGACATGACAATTATCTAACGGACCAATGTCTACAATTTTGTATTAGTTTTCAATTATTCTAAGCACATGTGCTTGTAAAGTACGAGCTATCGAACTTTTTATAGGTATCAATAACTAATAAAGGTTGACTGGTTTGAATATTGATTGCTGCGCATACCAGTTAAAACATCCATTACAGACCAGAATGTCCAGGGACTTTTCCTTGATGTCACTAACAAAATTACTAGGCATATGTGGGGACAGAAATTGCCCATGAAGAAGTTTTCTGGCATCACCATACAACAGCATTGCAACAATATCTTCTTGCTTCCATTAGATAATGTTTTAAGTTTCTCCTGGTGGATTTGCTATAATGTTGCTTCCCTTTTGCGCTAACACTACAATGTTTCCTTTTCTAACTTGAAATATTGAAACTAATGATTCAGGTTGGATTGGATTCTTCTGCACTTTGTGGTTGGCAACTAGAAAGAGCTTTGAACTGGCTAAACAATTCTTGACTGTGACTAGCACTGCCGTTGCAAATTATGCGGATGCTCGGCATCCCCTCAAGATGGAAAATTTGGACTCAGATTGAGGCTCATTATGCATAAAAGGTTTATGCACAACACTATTTTGTATTGCTTCTGTATGTGCATGCTTTTTGAGAAGACACCATTTCCAGTAGAAAATATAGTGTGTGGTGTGTGTCCTATGTCCATACTCGTGGATCTTGCATGCCTATGATTTGTTGTTTTATCACTAATGAACGAGAGATGGTAAGGTAGATTGATGTTGTGTGATCCAGTTGAATAAAATTGTGGGGCTTTCTTTCACTCAAGAAAAAATCCAGCTCACTGTTGTTGTATTTATTAATTTTATATTACATGAGTATATGCTGGTGTCCGTGTGTATTTAGTCTAGGTTCCTTGAGGTTGATTAAATTTAATATTCTTAAAAAAATATATTTCGAAAGTCAGATGGATTTAGTTAACACTACAATTGTGAGCTGAGTTTTTTTAGTTGGCTTGAAAAATTGCATGGAAGTAGTTTTTGTTAAGTTACTTCAAGTTGTTGATGGAGAATTTTTTTTAAAAAAACTATACTTTGAAATTTAAAGGATTAATAAGAAAATTTGTGAGTTAAAAGGACCAAGAGCATGATAACAATTTAAGAGAGTGAAAGTTTGCTTTTGATACTTAAGAAAGCCCAAATATCTTTCCTCACATATTTTCTTGTTTAAAAAAATAGAAAGCCCAAATCTTTGTTCTTTTTAAGTAAGAAAGCCCAACAAGGCCCAAATCTTCTTTGACCACTTAATACAACATGGCTCTTATCTTTGTTCTTTGTTCTTTTTTT